AATTAAGCCCAAACTTTAGTTTTATTTACATAAGTAGATGCATAACAAATCACAAAGAAATAACGCAAAATCATACTATAAGAAGCAATTAAGGAATAACAAACAGTCTTACAATAATACGAGGAATTTTTCGAAGAAAAACAATTAATGTAAAATTGAGTATATCTCATAATTGTTTCACCATTTTTTTCACTTCCTACATTATTTGTGACCAACCAAATCTCAGCTTCTGTTTTCAATGGGGCAAGAGAAATAATTTAAGAAAAAATATAAAATTATATGCAAGGTTTAAAACCCTAAAATTAGAAGTTTATTTTCGCACAGCTTTAATGAACGATTTTGCTTTGTAATAATAAGTAGTGAAATATTCAGTCAAATACATAATTTCAGATTAGTAAACGTAAATACTTATCACATATGCAAGACAATCTGGGAAGTTTTTGTTGTTGTTTTTTTTTCTTTCCACGAAATAAATGAGAATGAAGATCTAGCCAAGAATAACAAGTGTTAGTAATTTTTAAACTTTTGCTGAAACATTTTAAAGACATTTATGAAAGTAAGCATATTTCATCAGTAACACTGCATTTGAATGTACATCTGATGAAATAAACGCACTTAAAGCAATGCGATAAACACAAAAAATAAACATCTCAACAAGGACCAGGGAATATAACAGTATGGTGTATTTTGAGTTTGCTACAAGTCGTATATCACATTACCCAAGGCACTCACCATTCTTCTTAAGTAAATGGTACGAGTGTTGTCTTATTTCAATGCAGAAAACGACAGTCACAATTGTGAAAAATTAGGCATTGTTATGAAGAAGTTATGAAAATTAATTTGAAAAAACTTAAAAATAAAACATTTCTGGGAAAATGAAAGGTAAACAAAGAAATACCATTTCTAAATAGAGAACCAATTCACTTAGACTAAACACGACATATTTATCCGATATCCGAAGATTATTAGTGGTGTTTTTGTAGAAACTACAACATATATCTTCTTGCTAACAGCCAGAACATTTACTGTTGGCCATTAATGATTATAAGCCTGAGTCTTGTTACAAATTCTAAAGCATGTCTACTTATTCACAAACAGCAGTTTTACAGTAAGTCGTTAGTAATGATAAAGGTCTTATTTAGTTTGGAATATGAGTAGTTTCCTACTTACCCATAACAGAAAGTTCAAAGTGACTAAACCATATTTCATATAACACTAGCTAGACTGATCTCTTCATGTAGGTTATATACGTATAACAGATTAACAACTGTATGCTAGTGTTTCTGTTCTTATCATAAAGCGAGATAAAGAGTCGAAAGTTCAACACTAAGGTACCATAGATTGCTATATCACTGGCATAATAGGTGTTTAAGCTTTAAGAATACGTTTTGTTTTTAACCTATATATATATATGTATATAAAAGAATATTACAATTACCTGAATATTTCGAATCGTAAACTAATCTGGGTCTTTTAGTGAAATGGTGATGTAAGGAAAGTTAGATTTAACACCCGTTTTAAATTGTAAGAAGATAAACGAAATGGGGAGGGGATATATAGTTTAGTTAGTCCAGATTATGCAGAACATTTGATAAAAATCATGCACATTATGATTCAATAATAAATGTTTTTAGTTTTTCAGATTCTATAATCTTTCGAATCTTTAAATCATCTTAACTAAGCAATTATTTTCCATTGTTTCCGCTAAACCTATTTTACGCAGTAGCGCTGGCTTACGTTTCACTTTTCATCGTGCTTTAATATCTGTCGATGACTTTAGAACAGTCGAAAGATCTTTCGAGTGTTTCTTGTAGTTTCATTATTTCGAGTCAACCTAAAGCTGAGATGCAATTAATGACTCAAAATGTTTATCATTTGTAACCTGAAACTATCTTAAAATCAATTTAACTCAGTACAATATACGCAGGACTGAGCATACTCTCATGGTTCTACTGGGGATTGAATTCGATAAATTAAAAAACGTAAAACACACATGTTGCTGTTATATATACTTAATATCATTTTATTGAATATTTGGACAAGGACGATCTTCAGGTAAATCATTTATACATAAATCTATATATTTATCTATAAGACAATCTGCAGATTTACATTTCATATCAATTATCCCATTTAACGGATCACATTGAAATCTAAAGATTTCATTCCATGAAATGTTCTAAAGGCTATACAACATATTTGTGGATTTTTTTGGTCGTTTTAAGCAAACAAAATTTTAAAGAAAAGAAAAAAAAAACTTCAGTTTATTCAAAATTTTGTATATCTTGCGGTGTTTAAGTTTGATGGTATATTATAAAACAAATAGGAACCGGAAGAGGAAGTGTATACCGATGGGTTAATATACGCAATTATCCATTTTTGGAATTAATTTAATTAAAGGCCAACTTATGCTCCTTTGCGTTCATTGTTCGTCTTTAAATATTATTTTTGTTCTTGTGGTGCTACCTATTGTCAAATTAATACGCCTATGAAAAATACATGGGTATGAACACATTTTCAAGTATCCTAGAAAGTGGCCAAAATATTTAAATCAATTCTGCGTCTTCTATACGGATATTTTTGCAAAATTAACATTCACCCAATTTCTTTGAATAATTTTAAAATTAAAGCTCAGGATGATAAAACATTGGGCCTGTATAAATAAAGTTTAAGAATTCCAAATAATCGTCAATCTGAAACGCCTTCTAAGTTTTCTTTACTTAAACTGAAACGAGGTCCTTTTTTTAGATTTTATGAATTTCTGATTTACAATTCTTAGATCTTCATTAGAAAAAACATTATGATATCTAAGAAGTCAAAAGTAACTAACAAACGATTTGGGTTCTATCGATTAAGTGCGTAACTGTACTTGTCTCTTTTTTGCACGTCATTACAGGTATTTCAATGCCATTAAGAGCAAATACATCCCATGCTAAAATAATGGACAAAAAATATGTACAAAACGAACTAGTTATGTTATAGCGACACTGTATAAGAATATTTTATAAGCGGTACTTCACACAAGCTGCATATTTCAACTTATAACTCATGCAGACTGTAGAAGTTAAACTTTCTTTATTTGTTCTTGTATTGGGAATAAATATCTTACTGAAAGAAGTAATATTAAAATAAGGAACACAATTTAGAGGTGGTTTGAAAAAACATAACGTACGATATAAAAGAAATTTGGGAGAACAATAGATTCATTTTGACTTGAGAAGTATTATAGAATAATATCACTTGAATATCTTCATGCTTTAGGGAACTTTTCAAAAGAAATGGCTTGATTATCGTTTTACACAGAGGAACAGAAGAATAATGTGCCTTTATTATCTCAATGCCTCAGAGAAAGCATGAAATTAATTTAAATATAATAGCTCATGTCTAGGAATATTTTGAAAAGAAAAACGGATTCAAGTTGTTCCTTGTTTTGAAATAGAAGTTTGTTTTGTTTGTTTGTTTTTAATTATGCACAAAGCTACATATGGGCTATCCGTGCTCTGCCCACCACGGGTATCGAAACCCGGTTTCTAGCGTTGTAAGCCCGCAGACATACCACTGTGCCACTGGGGGGCCGAAATAGAAGTAGAAAGCGACTTGAGATGTTTCGAATATCTTCAAGAAAATACTTGCGTAAGGAAGCATATTATGCTAATCTATATATATATAAGAGGCTAACGTCCGTCTGTCCGTGCCCCACAGTTTTACAGCGGTATGTTTGCGGACTTACAACGCTAGAAACCGGGTTTCGATACTTGTGGTGGGCAGAGTGCGGATAGGCCATTGTGTAGCTTTGTGCTTAACTTCAAACAAACCGTCTGTCCGTAAAATTCCTCCCACAAGTTTAGGTCCGATTGATGAAACTTCGCACGATTTTTCAGCATCATAAGGGGAAGTTTCTAACAAAGTTTCATTACAATTTGGGTCTCTTATAAAGTTTATTTAGTGCATGTGTCCACTTTTTAAAGAAATAAGTCAATAACAGCTTCATATCGCACCAAAATGAAAAATTTCATAAAATAGACCCTTGCTAAAATTACAAAAATAATAGGACCTTGTTTTATAACATTTTTTTCCTAAATCGCATCCTTAATGGAGAAATGGTCCTTTTTTCCTTTTTAATAATCTACATTAATTTTTTACATTAATTATTATCAACGAAATTATTTTTTTAAGAAAACTTCTAAAATTCTGGTAAAGTGAGTTTAATGCAGAATTTCAAAGTGAGTCTTCTAAGTGGAGAATTATTGTGTTATATCAAAAGAAAAGTGACTTATTAATCGAGAAGCTTAAGACATTTGACCAGGAACGTTTATAAGTTTCGAACATTACAAATCATTTAACTTCAGTGGATTCATATCGGACATTAGTACTTTTACGAA